TTTTTTTTTTTTGGTACCGGGGATCAAACTCAGGACCTTGTGCTTGCCAGGCAGGTGCTGTGCTGCTGAACTAAATCCCCAGTCTGCCCCTGTACTCTTACCTCAAGAGAATTATGAAAAGTAAAGTTTTCTCTGTGTCATTGTATTTTTCTCTCGAGGAAGAGATTCACAGCTTTTGTATGTTCTTCCCATGATTTGTCTCCCCAGAAAGGATAATGCAGAGTAGCCAAGCACAGTGTCCCCCTCTTGTACTTATCCTCATCCACTCTGGATCTTCTCTAATAGATAAGAAGAGGCAGATGGATCTTCCATTAACCTAATTAACCCAAGTTGTTCCTATGTCAGGCCATACATAACTTGAGGATCCACTGTACTGATTCCTTACCTCATACTTCCCTTATCTTGGCCACGTCAGGAAATGCTCTATATCTCTCAAGAAGTTGGAGGTGGCTTTTTAGAATTTAATAGTCATCTTGAATTTCCAGCTTCAGCTCTGTCTTGCCTCCTGTCTCCTCACAGGACTCCCCTGTGCCTCTGACTTCCACACATTCAGGAGAAGTAGGATTGGGTGGGTCTCTTCCTTGTCAGACCTCTTTTAGAATCTGGTCTTGCAGAGAGGACACATGGGTTTTTCCTCTCTGGGCCTCTTCCATTTCTTGACCATGATCTCTGGAAGACAAGAAGAAAGGTTCTCATGGATAAACTTTACTGTAGAATCTTCTATCTTTTCCACAGCCAAGATCTGGCACACTTGTGTGCCATTCTGAATCTGTGTTGTGTGTAGAGGACAAGGGCAGTAGCTAGAATGGGCAGAGTTGTTGTAGTAGTCTTTGGCCAGGACCACTGGTTTTTCTGTCAGGAGTAAGGCTGGCTGCATGGTTATGACTGTTCATCTGACCCTTTTTCTTACCGTGTCAGGAATTTGTGCCTCAGCTTCCGAGTCAGAACTGGCTCTGTCACCCCCAACATCACTTCCTTGAAAACTGCCAGTGTTGCTTCCCTTTCACCTTCCAAATTAGCCTCACTAACAGAAAAACTTCAGAGGCATCCCAGGGCTTCTCTGAAGTGTCTTCAGGGGTTTCACAGTGAATTCTCTGAGAATTTATTTTAACAAAGTCTGGTTTTTAAAAGTCTGTTCTATAGTCTTCATTTTAACAGCTCTACACTGTTAAGACATTTGCAGAGAACTCTGCTGTTTATTGTTACATACTTGGAAATTGACATTATTCTCTTTGCTATCATAGTCATTTAAAGAATGAGCAGGGCACAATGGCATCTTTGAGAGTATATATGATTTCAGTGTTTCAGAAGTCTCTTTTACCTTTTCCTGTGTAGCTTGCTACTTTGGAGGATTTCAGAGATAACTGTTAACCAAAGGAAAATGGCCCCTACTGCTGCTTTTTCTAAGATCTCCAGTTTCAGGTAGCCTTCAGCAGATGTTCACTGCCTACCTTGCAGCTCCCTGAGTTAGGGGCCTGGTTTCCAGGGCCTTCTGCCTCAGTAGATGAAGTAGATCTGCTGTGGACTTTTTTTCCTTTTCCAGGAAATATTGTGGTTTAAGAAGTTGTCTGTAACTGATCCTCAGAAGACATACAGACTTTCATAATTGCCATTTAATGAGGGAATTTCCAAGACTTAAGAACTCTAACATGTTCTCACTACTAGCTGCTCTATCTGATATATTGATGCTCTAATGGCCCATTTTTCCAAAGATTGACACGCCGTATTTTGAGGGAGTTTTCCCAGGGCCCTTTTGGACTGAGCTGCATTAGTGTTGTATTCACACCGTATGTCTAGCAATTGGGACAGTTATGTGAGGAGTCCACTTCCATTGTAGTTCCAGGAGAACAGTTTGATTTGTATTGTAGCTAGTGCTACACTTTTAAATGATCCTAACAAGACAGGTTTTCCTGGTGATGGCAGACTCCAACTCACTCAGCCCCTGTATCGGCTCATGCTTCTCTTGTTGGTCCTAGTTCCTCCCCAAGTAGAAAGCTTCACACCTCACCATTTTCCATGAAAAATCCTTGAGCACTTCATGGTCTGAGGGCTTAGTTAAGTCTCTTGAAGTTTTCATGGTATCAGCTGTGATCATCTCTGGACTCTCATTTCTTCTGATTTCTTTCTCTTTGCATCAGCACACTGCCCCTTCTTCCTCGGAGGATGTCAGAGGCTGTACAGTGAAGTGTTCATGAGGGTACCGACTCTGGATCCAGACCCCTTGAGCTGACATCCTCACTTCATAACTTGCTAGAGTTCTCCCTTGGGAAAGTTATTTAACCTAAGTTGAAGGAATATGTGAAGGAATATGGTGTGCATTGTTTAGTTAGTTAAAAATCCTTCAACAGTTAAGGATTTGAGTTGACTGATTAAAGATTATTAGGAATATAGTTATTTTTCTTTAAAAATTGCATGGTAAGCTCTTTTTTTTTTTTGAAAAGTTGCTCTTTTTATCATATGGTTGTATAAGGACCTACACAATATCTGCCTTAGTCTCAGAGGACACTGAAAATATTTTGGAAATGTCAAGTAGATTAAATGGTACATATGAAATACTTTTAAGACTTATTATTAACATAGTACCATACTTGCACACATATATATTGGTTTGCATATATCCACATAATTTTTCAGGCCTAGTGTGCAATAAGCATATTACCAGAAAATAAATATATGACTGGTTTTGTGTGTTTATTGTCTTTTAAATGATACAAGGAAATAAAGACTTAGAAATGTAGTTTTATTTGTAGCAACAACTTCTTACTGTAAGAAATTCTGTAGAGTCCACACTGATGAGAAATGTTGAAGTTGTTGCATTATCTCCTCATGTGGCCTTTATAACTTATTTCTAAAAAAGGTAGTAATTATGTTAAAGCTGTACATAGTCTTTTTTCTACTTGAAAATACTTTGTCCCTTAGGCCAGTGTTCCTGCTTAACATTAATAGCTTTATAGATCACAATTATTAGGTGGTATTGCTGAGTTGGTAAAGTTTATATATGATGAATTGAAATTCAAGGTCCAGGCAGAATTCAGTTGGTTTTCTTGATAATGTGACTATTGGGGCTGTTTGTTTACAATTATCTCACATTTGGATAGAAAGCCTTTCTTCCTATTCAGATTTCCAAAGCTTCTAGCCTTTGTAAAACGTCTGGTGTGCTGAATATGAACAGGGTGGGAGAGACCTGGCAGAAAAACATCCTTTTCCTTGTAACCAGTTTCTGTTCACTTGAGAAGGTAGTAGCTGTTCACTCATTCAGTAATGAAGTTTAAGTAATCCTCCAGGGTATTCATTTTACTCAAAAACAAATTGCAGTTTTCATTTACATCACTGGGTGGCGATTTTTCGTAGTGTTATGCTACTGTTTAAAACTCCAGCAAGCACAACACTATTTGTAATTACCAGGGTTTTCTTCTGTTATGACATGTTTAATTGTACTTTTAACATATTATCTTTAAGTTGATTGCAAATTTACTAGTGCAGTGTGGAACCTCATAGTTATTTTAAATTAGGAAAGGATATTGCTTAGATGTTGGTATATCATTCCTTCCAAAACCAAGACAAAGGCATGCAGTAGCTTATTATGTTATAGCAAAATAAGTAAAAATAACAACAAAATCATAGGATGTAAAATGAAAAGAATAATTTAGATTATTGTTATTGCATTCACTAACATTGTTGACCAAATCTTGAATTTGAATTTAAGTTTGGAGCAGGCAGAATGAAATTGGGCAAGCGCTACTGCAGAGATTAAAGGAATTAGGTTAATGTACAACTGAAGTTCATCATGTTTTTCAGCATGTGCAGGTGCTGCATAAGTAGGGCACAAGAACATGTAGTTTTCATTAAGTTAATTATTTTGTAAAACTCGTTGAATTTAGAACCAGTTTAGTAATTTACAGCAGCTTGTGTTTCATCTTTTAAGTATTGACATTGAAATATGTAATTTAGTCTTACTTCTGTTTTTGAGTTTGAATGATAAATCAGATTTTGTGAAATAGTGCAAGACTTTGGAAAGTAGTGTGTTAAAGGTTATATTCCTTATTCTGAGAATCAAAAAATATAGACTTATTTTAGTTAAACTCACATTTTTATTTGGGACTTTTGAAGGTAATTTCTTCATTTCTGTGTTATTTGCTTATTTAAAAGTGGAAACTTGACCGTATAGAATAAAAATTTACTGCTCAAGGAATGAGAGTAAGGCACTTTGATTCTGTTGACAGCTAATGGCTTTAATTAAAACAAAAACTAAATAGGTTTTCAACATGTGCTTCCTATTGTAACTCCTGTTCTTACAAAAGAAATGTACCACATCTTCAGAAAAAGAAA